ATGCAATGCCCGTAGAGGTCAGAAGAGGCTGTCGGATCCCCTGGGACTGGAGTTACAGACAGTTGTTAGCTGCCATACGGGTGCTGGGATTCAAACCTAGGTCTTCTGTAAGAACAACCAGTGTTCTTAACTGCTGAGCCATCTCTCCAGCCCATGCCTACTATTTAAATGTAGCTATTATGCACAGAAATGTCATACATGCTCAGGTAGTCAGGTCAGCCAATGGGGTTCCCAAATTCAATGATCCTGAACTACTGGATCTGAACTACCTCTGAACCTAACTCTTTCATATACAAACTCCCCAGAACTCTGGAGTGGACAGCCAGCAGAAAATATAACCCATACCACACAGAATGACTTACGTGGCTTGATGAAAATGGATGGAACTAGAGACTGTTATGTCAAGCAAAATAAGCCAGACTCACAAAGGCAAGTATCAATGTTTTCTCTCATATGTGGAATTCAGTAAGTGGGGAAAAGGCTATGAAAGTAAAAAAGGTGGGTACAGTGGCTCATTCCCATAATCCCAGCACTTGGGAGGCTGAGGCAGGAGAATTGCTGCAAATTTGAGGCCAGCCATGGCTACATACTGAATACCAAGCTAGCCAGAGTGATAAAGCAAAACTATCTCAAATAAACAAAAGGTAATAAAGTATAAGGATGCAGAACAGGAAAGGAGGGAGGAGTTGGGCATGAGCATGTAAGAGAGGGGTCAATGAGGTACATTATATGTATGAAAATGTCATGAAATTCATTACTTCATACAATTAATACACACTAATAATAAATTTTGTTAAGACTGTGCATACATACAAAGAGCAAGATTCCTCCTCCCTGGCAATTAGTACTTACCAAAACCCCATCACCAAAACAGCAGGGATGAGGGCAGGGAGGAGAGAAGGCCTAGAGTCTATGTGCTAATCACTGAGGGGCCGTCCAAATGGAGCACCTGCCTGTTCTGAGCTTCTGTTGCTGACCAGTGCTCTTCACACCCTGTAAAAGAGAGCCATTCCAGTCTTTTCCTTCTCTTCCTGACACAAAATGACAGAGAGTCTTCTTCTGCCCCCAATTAATAATCAATAATACAAGGAATCAGACAAAAAGCAAAAAGGTTTCTCTCCCATGGCTCCCATCACTGTCACTCAGGCTCCCATTATTCCCTATCTCTCACCTGCTAGACATGGAGAATGAGGATGAGCACAAGAAGACCCTGTCCTCATGAAGCTCCATGGATAAAGAGACCAGTCAAGTTCCATTGAAAACAGCAGAGTCAAAATACACCAGTAGACCAGCAGGGTGGCTTAGAGCAAAGGCTCTGGTCCTGCTGTTCCAACTTAGCACATGGCGGGGGTAAGACAATTCATCTTTCCCATGAGGGAAGAATAATAATGTGCCAAACATGCTGACTATAGGGATTAAAGAAGATAAAAGCTCAGCCTGATGCTGGACAGGGAACAAGCATGTACTAAAGTAGCATTATGAATGGCCAGAATCACTACATAGAGGACTAAATGCCTGGTAGAGTCTTGGATAGCTACATTTAAAACTAGATCTTAAGGAAGGACAAAGAGTTGGCCAGAGAACAGGAGGAAGGGCATTCTAGCCACTGACTGGACCATGAAAGGGTTAGCACACTTGGGATCAGTTGGTTCTAGGCGTCAGAATCACAGATCAGCGAGGATCAGCAGGCAGGGCAGATAAGCCATAGACAGGGTACTGCAGAAGGCTGCGCTTAATCCTGTAGCCATGGAAGTGTGGAAGAGAGGACTATGCTCAGATCTGCCCTGACCTCTAACTTGAGAGCACTGCTACATCCTTTGCTGATGCACCCAGGAGACTGGCAGCAAGTGAAACAGCACAGGGAGGTCAGAGGGGTGGCAGTGGGAATGTGTGAAATGAGAAGGGGCAGTTTCAAGAAAAGTTGTGGGGCCTGAAAGAAAACTGTCAGGTCTCAGTGTAGATGTCACTTTGCTGGGAAGCGTTTCCTAACCTGACCATTCTGGGTGAGGCAGTGTTTTCTGAGAAATCCTACAGCATCATGGACACCCCAAAGCATACTTTCTGTAAATGCAGTGAATAACATCAAAGCCTACATACAGCACACCATAGACCTAGTTGGCAATGAGAATACAACATTTAAGAAAGGAGAGTATCTAACCCCAGGCAGTGCTGTGGCTCTAACCTGCAAGATGGGTGGTGGAGACAATGATGGACACAAACAGATTTGAGTGGTGCTAAGAGCAGGGTAAGGAGAGGAGTAGAGAGGTAACAATGAGGAGGTGTGGCAGGTAGTCAGGGTGGTCTCTGTAGAGAGGCACACATCTGGTAGGCAGACAGGAGAAGGCAAGGGAAATAGCACTGTTAGCAGAAGCAGCGATACATCATCCCTAAGGATGGATGCACACAGCCAACAAGGATACTGGTGTGCTGGAGCAGGTGAGCAAGGACAGTCAAGGAAACAGACAAACTAGGCAAGGGCCGAATCATGTACACTCTTCTACCTTTGTTGTAAATGACATTCCTTCAAATACCAAGGAATTTCAGAAGTGATATAATCTAACACCTTAAAGTACGGTACTTCTAGGAGACACAGAAAATAAGCCACAGGGAGGGCAGGCATAGAAAGGGAATGTGGGCCTGCTACTCCGACGGCCCGGGTGAAAAAGGATGGCACAGTATAAAGTTGCAAGTAGAGGGGGTGTTAAGAGTGGTTAAATTTCAGATGTGTTCTGAGGTCAGGCTGGCAGGGCTTGCTGATGAATTGGATGTGGATTGTTTTTCATTTCTAAATGGTTTTCTACAATTTCCATGAGCAAGAAATACTCACAGGTTAGTTACACTGGTTTAGAAAGAAAAATGGGAACCAAGTGTGAGTTCTAGGTTTGGGATCTGAGAGCTAGATGAGGACAGAGTGCTGCCACTTTTCAACGTGGGAACAGCAGGGAAGACAAAGATTTGGGATAGGAAGAGGTACTCCAGAGGTCTGCTTCAGGCATGTCAAACTGAGACACCTCATAGACACCTAAAGGGACACAAGAACAGAGAGGTCAGGGAGAAGGCATGGCTAAAGGTAAAATCTGAGGCACAGCTAATGTGAAGAACCCAAGGAGGTGAAATCCCTTGGCAGAGAAGAGGCAGAGGAGAGATTCAGCCCTGACCCTTCAAAGTGGCTGAGTAGTGGCCTTGAGTGAGGAAGTTGGGGGGGTCCTGTCAACTGAGAAAGGGAGGGAGTGCTCAGAGACTCAGGGCTGTGGGGCAGTTGAGAGACAGAACTCCTGAAATGATGCTGGGGAAAGGTCCCCTGACTAGGGCAAGGGCAGCCTAGGGAAACAGGGCAGAAGGAAGAGGAGAATCCAAGTATACACAACTTTTGCAGCAGACTGCTATCATGGAAAACTGGTACACAGAGATGAGACTAGAAGGAAAAGCAGGGGGAACAACACGTTTCACATGTGGTGTGTTGGTGTTCAAATGCTCAGGGGATGATTCAGCAGAATGGGAAACCCAAGCAGACTACTAAACACAGGCATGAAGAAACAAACAAACATTATATATCTATAAAATATTTGGTTTTTTTTATTTTATGTGTATGAGCCTACACGTATATAAGTGCACCCATGTCATTCTGACCATGGAGGTCAGAAGAGGGCATCTGATTCCCTGGAACTGGAGTTACAGATGGTTGTTAGCTGCCATGTGGGTGCTAGGAATTGAACCCAGGTCCTCTGTAAGAGTAGCCAGTGCCACTGCTGAGCCATCTCTCCAGCCCAGGGAATGAATTCTTAAATGGCTTGAAAAGCTGAATAATCTTTACTCAAAATGCTAACCAGTACACTGATTAAAAACTATAAAGGATACTATTCCCACACTGTAAGAGGCCTTGGGTTCGACCCCCACTACCACAAGAAGAGAAAAGAAAAAAAATTTCTTTTCCTAAACTTCCAAAATTAGAATGATTCTAACACCCAGCTAAAGCTGGGCATAATGGCACATAATCCCAGCATGCAGAAGGCTAAGGCAAGAAGACTCCAAGTTCCAAGCTTGGGCTACATAGCAAAACCCTGTCTCAAAAAGAAAGAAGGAAGAGGAGAAGGAAGAAAAAGAAAAACAAAGATCAAAACAAAACAAAAAGCCAGTTGAGAGAGACCTTAGATACCTACCAGGGTTACCAGAAGGTGCCCCAAAGCAGTTGGGAGGCAGAGGCAGGCAGACCTCTGAGTTCCAGGCCAGCCTGTCTACAATAGCTCAAGAGTTCCAGGCCAGCTAGGGCTACAGGAAGACCCTGTCTCTCTCATTTTAATAAAAAGATTGTTATACGTCAGAAAAAGTTATCATTTAGTAAAATTTGCCTTTCTGAATAATACAAGAAAGCTCAAGATTAAAATTTCTTTCCTTTAATTTATTATTTTTATTTTTTGTGTATGAGTGTATTGCCTGGTGTCATGCAATGCTCAAGCGGTGAGAAGAGGGTTTTGGATTCCCTGGAAGTGGAGTTACAAATAGTTGTTAGCTGCCATGTGGGTGCTGGGAATCGAACCAGGGTACTCTGCAAGAGCAGCCAATGTTCTTAACCACTGAGCCATCTCTCCAGCCCCAAGATTAAAATTTCTTAGTTAAGGATGGCAAGATGGCTAAGCAGGTAAAAGGCACTGCCACCAGGCCTGAGTTTGATCCCTGGGACCCACATGATGGAGAGAAGGCCTTAAGTTGTCCTCTGACCTCCATATGCAACTACAAACACACATACATGGGCACAAAATAGATAAATGTGCCAGGCATGGTGGCGCACACCTGTGGCCCCAGCACTTGGAAGGCAGAGGCAGACGGATCTCTGTGAGTTCAAGGCCAGCCTGGTCTACATAGCGAATTCCAAGCCAGCTGGGGCTACAGGGAGACCCTGTTTCAAAAACAGACAACCCCCCCACAAAAAAAATAGATAAATGCAATTTTTTAAAATTTCAAATGGTTTTCTACAATTTCCATGAGCAGGAAATACTCACAGGCTACAATGATTCAGTCTGTAAAATTTGTGTCGTGCAACACAGAGTCTCCACACATATTTCGCTGTTTCCATGTCTTCCTGGCAAACAAAACATGCAGAGAGTAAGTACCACAGAAGTAAGCAAAGAACTCACTTCTAATGCAGAATTGCCCGGGAATAAGACATAACTGGTGACATTGTGCCTAAGTCATTTTCTGCCTGTTTTGAGTCTTTCGTCTTCTAATCCTGTATCTATCATACAAATGCTATTAAAATTTTTCTTATATTTTATTTATTTTTATTTTATATGTATGCGTGTATTGCGGGCATGTAGGTAAGTGCACCCGTGTCGTGTATTGCATGCATGTAGGTAAGTGCGCCCGTATTGCCTGCGTGTAGGTAAGTGCACCCGAGTCGTGCAATGCTATAAAAACAAAATGATCTTTTCTAATGGTATGAGTCTCACAGTGAACACTTTCAAAATGATTTCGAAGTTTAAAACACTAAAACATGCTCCCTTTTTTGAAAAATGTCATGTTATCTAACATTAAAAAGAAAACCATGCTGGGTGTGGTTGCGCACGCCTTTAATCCCAGCACTAAGGAGGCAGAGGCAGGTGGATCTTTGTGAGTTCGAGGTCGGCCTGGTCTACATAGCAAGTTCCAGGAGTTCCAGGACAGCTGGGGCTACGGGGAGATTCCTGAGAAATATACTCTAAGACTTTTCAAACAAAACATTTGAGTCATTGTCTTAACACTGCCTTTGTCAAGAAAGCCAAAGCCAAGAGCTGTTAAGCAGAACTTCACAGCCACTCACCATCAGTGGAACTTGGCTGGCAGTGCATTCTGATCAGAGTCTATATACAAAAACTCATTCACTCAACACTATTTACTGAGCAACTACTTTTTGCCAAGTGTGGTTCTACAAAACTTAAAATTTAAAACATAAAATTTTTGGAGCCACGCCTTTAATCCAGAGGCAGGTGGATCTCTGTGAGTTCGAGGCCAGCCTGGTCTACATAGTGGATGGGCTACGGGGAGACTCTGTCTCAAAAAGACCAAAAAATAATAATAATAATAATTTAAAATATAAAATTTTTGCTGGGTTTTGTGGAACAAGCCTTTAATCCCAGCATTTGGGAGGCAGAGGTAGGTGGATCTCTGAGTTCATGGCCAGTCTGGTCTACATAGCAAGTTCCAGACCAGCTGGAGCCACAGGGAGATCTTGTCTGAAAAAAAATAAAATAAATTTTATCTTATAAGATTATAAAATATTATAATTTTAGTACCACCCTCCCCTCCAAACACAAAACAGAACTCAGAAATGCTACTCGCTAACTTATGAAAAGCATCCCATGAAGATTCTTCATGTTCACTCACAGTTTGAAACTGGATGGTCTCCTCTTTATTTGTCAGCTCTAAGGCAAAAAAAGACTTGTTGTGGGACATGTTAGCAATGTCATGCCACCTAAACGACAAGAGAAAATGCTGAGTGTGCTACGTGAACTAGGACACAGAAGACGTGATTTTTTTTCCTTAAGCTCAGTACATCAGTTGACACCTATTATTTTTTAATAATATTTTATTTTTCTATTTTATGTATAAAATACATTTTATATACTTAGCATACATATTTGCATCAAGCAGGTGCCCTCAAAGGCCAGAAGACAACTTTGGGCTCTATGGAACTGGAGTTAACAAGAGACTGTGAACCATATATCAGGTCTTCTGCAACAGCAGCAAGTGCTCATCCCATTGAGCCATTTCTCTAGTTCCTTTGCTAAGCATTTTTTAAATAAAGTACTTGTTTTCTCAGCCAGCATGCACTTTCTAATTGAAATGACAACTAGTCCCTAAAATAAAGGTATATGTATATTAAATGAAAAAAGAGTATTTGCAAGATGGAAATATATTACCCTCACTTCCTAGGTTGGCTTAACAAAGATCCTTATGTTAACTTCTAGCTAATATCTTCACTATGCATTGAACAAACATTTTAAATGGCATCCATCATCACAATGACAGTATTGTACCATGTCCTGGGGATATGAAAGTCAGTAAGACAGTATTCCCTCAAAGGGAGGGTAGGAGCACACAGACAACACAGAACAAAGGTGTACTGTGAAGTGGCGTACGTAACCAGGACAAAGCAAGGCAGGAAAGTGAGAGGAGCATGCTCTGAAAACCTGGCGGAAGAGAAAGTTGCATGCTGGGAAACCAAGGCATGACCTGTTCTTTCTGTGTTCACTAGACATGAATACTATCTTGCACTTTCTAATTTTATCATATTTAGCTTTTATATATTAATATTTGGTTTTTTTACTTAGCTGTGTCATTTTAATAGGAAAAACAGCTCTGGAAGGAAATGTCTAATGTGCTTTATCGATCTTCCTTCCGCAGGACTATTCAAACAGTCCTTATTGGAACCACTGGGGACCAGAAGTGTGAATAATGTCAGAGATTTTCAGATTTTGAAATATTTGAAATGGAACACTGGCTAAGCAGCTCTACTCTGGAAACTCAAAAAATTCCAGAACAGGAAACACTCCAAAAGTGAAATACATCCCCCCCACCCACTCACAGGGCTAGGAATCAACCCAGGGCCCACATACACACATACACTAAGCAAGGGCTTTGCCACTAAGCTACATTCCAAACCCTAGATCTTAATTTTTTTTGAGCATTATGTTAGAGCTCAGAAAGTTTTGAGCATTGAATTTGGGACTTCTGGACTAGGAATATTCAACCTGGATTATACTTACTTAGTTAAAATTTGTTGAAATTAACTGAGTTCATGCTCAGTTGTTAAACCTAAAGATTATTAGCATCATATTAAATGAGGTTAATTTTGAAAATTCCTAAGCAGTCATGAAGGCAACCAAATGAAGGCCTCAGTTTCCTGTGGCCTTTGGGTACTGTTAGAGTCCTGCTCTCTGAGTGAAGCCCAGAGCCATTTTCCTCTCCCTGTTCCCCCAGCTCAGCACGTTGGGAAGACTTAAATAACTGTTTACAGACAAGAGACCAGTAACAATCGGTGAGCACCCCAGGCCAAGCAGTGCAGCATCAGGGTGGGGTTCTGCTTCCCAAGGCTTGCCCACTCTCTGTGGTACGGTCCCTCTGGATATTCAGGACCCAAAGACAGTAAAGCAAAGCAAGTGAAGGAAGAGATGCTACCTTAGTGAAAAGTTCTCAAAAGGAAAAGTCAGTTCGCAAGAATAAAGTGGAGCTTGGAAAGAACAAAAGAAGCTATTAAAAAAAAATAAAGAGCTACTTAATACTGTGCCTAAGCGCCCACTTAAAGTAGAAAATCTGAGTTCTAATCCTAGCTATGCCAGTTAATAACTGAGTGACCCTGGACAAGCTACTTGGCTTTTCTAGGCTTCTGTTATCCTGTGTGCAAAGCGGTAGTAATACCTGCCACCCTGACTTACTATGAAGTTTACATCAGAAAATACACAGAAAGCAGTCAGCATAGTATTTGGCTCATGATAAATTATACTCAACGGGAGCTAGAGAGATGGCTCAGTGGTTAAGAGCCCTGGCTACTCTTGCAAAGGACCTGGGTTCAGTTCCCAGCACCCACACAGCAGTTAGCAACTATCCATAACTCTAGTTCCTGGAGGTCCAACATCTTCTCCTGGCCTCCCTGGGCATTGCATGCATGGTGCATTTATATACAGCAGTCAAAACACTCATACACATAAATTTGTTTAAATTGCACTCAATGAATGGCAGACACAAAGGAATCAATAGACAAAAGCAGTAGGATATGCCTTACTACTTGATAAAAATATAAACCTTCCATTGTTTTTAATTAAGAGAAAAGAGAATATCAGGTATCCCAGCACCTGGGAGGCAGAGGCAAATTGTGAGACTGAGGCCAGCCTGGTCTCCATAGTGAGTTCCAGGTCAGCAGGGCTACAGGAAGACTCTGTCTCAAGAAAGATGTAATTGGTACTGACCAGGAAGGTTGCTCCCTGCTGGCTAGCTTTCATCGCACTAGAAGGTGCTATGCAGGCTGCTGCAGAGGAAGAATCATCAACAGTCTTACTTAGTTGTGAATCCTGTGAACTAAATAATGACCAGCTTGGCAAGATGTTCCAGCATCTGGGTGCAACAGTGGCACCAATGTTATAGGGTACAACTGCTTTCCTATTGGATGTAAGGCCTGCTCCACAGAAGGAAACACATGTCTGGTACTATAAATCTTGCTAAGAACCCATGGTTGGGAAGCTCACAGGCCCTAGGGGTGGACCTATTACCATTATTTTGCTAAATGGACATAGTATCAAACTACCCTCTAAATTATTATCTCTCTACCCATAAATTAATACAGCTCTCATACCTCAGAGAAGTTTCTTTGAGCAGTGTGCAATAGTTAATGCAAAAGCTCACAAGTGGTCAAAGTACAAAGAGTAAGTGTCTGTGTGCTCAACAGCAAAGGGGACATCTATATCACACTCCTCTTCTCAAACTCAGGGACTATCAGGGAAGAGGAAATGGAAAGATAGAAGATCCAGAAGAACAGGATGGCTGCACTCACGGCCTACATAAAATCAAGCCAGTCAACATCCCAGTCAACATCCCAGTGTGGCGGAGAGGGACCTTAGGAGTCCCCACACCTGGCTAAGGGGCTATTGATGGCTTCTGGAGGGGGGAGAATCAGTTTTCCTTAACGATCTGGCCCCTGGTAGATTATCTATGCTCCAGTGTATGGCCCCATTAGTATATGGTCAGCACAGATTGGACTTAGTGGGTTATATATTAAAGACACAAAGTTGGGGGAGGTGTGGGGGTTGCATTGGGAGGAGTTCAAAGTAAGGGGTGAATATGATAAAAATCTATTGTATGCAGGCATGAAATTCTCAAATAAAAAATATTTTTAAAAGATGTAATTGGAACCCAGACTACTAGAAAGAAATTTTAAACAACCTGTAAACTCCCTGCTTAGAAATTACCCCCACTATTAGCCATCTTTATATACCCATTCTGTCTTTCCTACTACAAACACTCCAGGATTTCTATGAATGAACATCATCACTTTTATAATGGGGAAGATCAACTTTACAAAAAAAAAAAAAAATTTGCTGAGATGTTGGTATTTTAGCAATTCTGCTACATAACTAAATTCAAAAGAAAGCCTAGATTTTTCCATAGCGAACAGCCCTAGAAACAAGAACTCAAATGAAAAATTCATTTCAAACCAAGAATGGCTTACATACGGCAAGAATAAGGTCAGATATTTTTTAAGCATTTAACAAACACTATCATTATAAGAAATATTCTCTTCATATTTAGTTTTGAAGACAGTAGTGTATTAATCTATTAGTACCCAGGTGGCATTTTACTCTAGAAAAGGAATATTTCCATTTTCTAAGAGAACTTAGGAAAGACTTGTGAGCAATTTATCTACTGTAACCATTTAAAGAATATAAAAATACCTAAATACCACAGGAGGCCTTCCATTCTTGTGTTTTACAAAGATACCTTCAAGACATGCACCAATGGATATGTCACTTCCTTGGCTGTCCTGAAAGAAAGAACAAAGGACACTCAGGAATTGGGTGCATACGGAGAACAAGGGGCTGGAGCGATAGCGAGTATGCTTGTTAAAGAGAACAATTACATTCATTTCCAGAACTTGTTTCCCAGACATACAATGTTCAGACCTACAGGGTAACTATTGAGAAGGAAAGTCTGATATGAATACACAGTCTTACTAATATTATTTATGGAAGCAGTTGACTCTTAGGGGTGGGGGTGGTTGCTGTTGTTGTTGTTATTGTTTTGAGACAAGGCCTCCCTATAGCGCCAGCTGGTCTAGAACTCACTTGGCCTTGATCTCACAGAGATCCACCTGCCTCTGCCTCCAGAGTCCTGGGATTAAAGGCCACCATGCCCCGCTGGACTTATTTTAAAAATATTTTTATTACTACAGTTATTTATTTATTTTGTGTGTCCATGTATATGGGCAAGTCTATGCCATGGTACACACATGTGAAGGTCAGAGGACAACTTGCAGGAGCTGATTCTCTCCTTCCACTATATGGGTCCCAAGGATCAAACTCAGGTCATCAAGACTGGTGGCAAATGCCTTTAGCACTGAGTCATCTCTGCAGTCCAAGTCTGGATTCTTAAGGAACTATTTCCTGACTCTAACAGAGCACAGAATAGGATTGTGTTTTACTATAAACCTCTGGCCACAAGGACCTCAGCTTTTAAATTCCTAGATTTTTGTACATCAGGGCATCTTCAAGCTTCCCTACTATTCCTTCAAATTGCTAAGCTTTTCCTTTTTCCTTTTTTTTTTCTTTTTTTTTGTCTTTTTGAGACAGGGTCTCCCTGTAGCCCCAGTTGGCCTGGCACTCACTTTGTAGACCAGGCTGGCCTCAAACTCATAAACTCATAGGCCTGCCTCTGCCTCCCAAGTGCTGGGATTAAAGGCGTATACCACCACCACACCCATCTTTTTTTTTTTTTTAAACAACACTTTGTTGCCTACTCTAGCCTCAAATAATTCACCTACCTCAGCCACCAGTGTAGGTTGGACTACAAGTACACACAAACATGTGCACAAACAGGTACAAACAGGTACATACACAAGTTTGCTAAGCTCCATTTTCGACAGCGCCAGCCTCTGGGCACACTGACCTTGGCAGGGTAGCTCTCTTCTCCATAGCCATCCATCCTCTCTACTTCCTGCATGTACAGCATTTCAGCGTCAGGAGCCACGAGCCCTCTGCAATCCAAGAGACATTACTGAGATCACTCAACAACCTAAACCTTTTAAATAATGCTTTTCTTAAAAACTATACATAAATTCGGAATGGGACATTATAAGCACTTCAGGCTTCTAAGCAAATGTCTTTAGTGATACTTATCCTTCAATATTTAGCAAACACTGACTACCTGTGAAACACTGGGCTGAATTTGGAGGGTGAGGTTTAGGCAGACCAGACAGGCAAGGGGCGAAGCAGTCCCCAAGATAGCTTCAAGTCAAAGCCAGGCATTTTACCTAAACCAGCAGGCAGTTGCTTAACTACCTCAAAATATCAGGCATTCCTGAGAATTCTGGTTTAAAGGCCAAATGATAAATGCAAGAAATAAGGGCAGGAGGCGGCTACATGGAAGGCTCTTTTAGTTCAGATGACTAGAATACTAGAAGGGGAAGGACGGGAACTCAAATTCATGGAGACTCACCTCTCCGGCCTTCTCTTCTGCTCCCCCATGCGCCCAAGGAACCCCACATGGCACCCATCCCAGACTCTGCATTTCTTTAAGCATACTGTGTCCCCTCACCTCTGAACCTTTGTACATACAGAGAGAGAACTTTCTTGTGATATAGCTGTCAGTCACATAGGGACCTAGCCCATCACTAGTTTCTTCATGACTTTGTGTTTATACCAATCCCAACTGGTTACATTCTACGACTGCCTAATGCCGGCCCTGCCTCATGCAGTCCTGACACATTCTGCCCCTGCACCCCTTAATCTGTTACTACTACTAAAGTGGGTTGTGATGCTATCTCTTGAATTGCTGGGAATAATAAATGCACTCTTGGGAGGCAGAATTATTTAAGCAATAAAATGACAAAAAGCAGGGCAATGTGTACCCGAAGGATCAAGTATGCTAAGGACAGCACAAAGCAGAGGTAGAAAAGCAGGATTAACAAATTTGTAGAGAGAAAGAAAACACTCATGAGCATTGGGAAGGAATGCAGAAAGAGATGTGAGGAAAAAGACAGTTTTAGAAGGTTAATCTTTTGTGACCAACTGTATGGATTAGGCAGACAGACTACAGGTAAAAGCTGGCAGGTTACAACCACAGACCTTCTTTTCAAGTCACTTCTACCACACATCAGCACCTAAATATTCCTGAGCTTTGTTTCCTTGTCTCTAAGATGGAGACAATATTTATCACAAAGAATACTGGAGTTATAAAAATGTAACTGTATACTAAAAAAAAAATCTAGAATTGGCCAGGTGTGATGGAGCAAGCCTTTAATCCCAGCACTCGGGAAGCAGAGGCAGTTCAAGGCCAGCCTGGCCTACAGAGTGAGTTCCAGGCCAGCTAGGGCTACAGGGAGACCCTGTCTCAAAAAAGACCAGAAAAAAAAAAAAAGAAAAGAAAAATCTAGAACTGTGTGGTATTTGGTCTAGGGTTAAGAGTTGGCGTTTTAGGAGTGTTTCTTAATGTCAGTAGAAATCCTCCATCAAGGAAAGCCAAGGGTGACCAGCACAGAGGCATGCAGAAGCGTAGTCAGGGCAGTAAACACCAGCACTCTTATCACAGCTCCCCAGAGGACAGAAATGCTGCTTCCTAACATAGCTGGGGGAGCAATGGTGGTGGTGATGCTTGTGTAATCCTAGCACTCAGGAGGCAGAGGCCGCAGGATGCCAAGTACAAGGCCAGCTTGGTTCTCAGAAAACTCAAGGCTAAGGGATATAGCTCAGTAGTAAAGTGTTTGCTTAGCATGTATAAGGCCCTGGGTTCAAACTCTAGAACAGTTATTTAAAAAAGAAAACAAGCCACCAGGGGACTGAGTCGTAAAAGAAAACTTCACTAATCTTGAACTAATTTATACAGGTTTAGCTACTAAGCACATTTTTAACATATAGGGTGATAGCCTGGAGCAGTACCTGGCTACTTGGTTTTCTGTTTTGTTTTGTGGTCTTTTTGGAGAGAGGGTCTCCTGTAGCCCCAGCTGACCTGGAACTCACTATGTAGACCAGGCTGGGCTTGAACTCAGAGATCTGCCTGCCTCTGCCTCCCGGAGAGTACTGGGATTAAACACGCCCTGTCCTAGTGAGTGCTACTTGTAATGGCAGTAGCAGCTATGACAGAGTTCAAATTCAATACCCTGAACACGTTTCAAAAACAAGCAGGCATCAATTCTCCATCTTATCTCCTAGTATTACCTGTATTTCTGATGTAGTAAGGCCACTTTTTGGGTTGCTTCTTCCAATACCTTTTCATCTTGTAACCATCCCTGAAGGAAACACACAGCAGTAAGTACATACATTTGAGAAGGAACCACTGCCTCTATTATTGACTCTTGTCACTTTAGACAAAAATTATGGCTAGTACTAATATTTGGGAGCTTTGCTTATGTAGGTAATCTTGATATTTCTAATGAATTAAGTGGCTTCTGCTCAGGAACCAAAACTTGCCCTGCCTTCTCAATTCATCCCAGAAGTTTCAGCTGAGTTACTCAAGGTTGATAAAATCATCAACCAGTTCTGAGCCCCGGGCAAAACCAGCTTATACTTTCTCTGACCAGCCATGTAGGCTATTCTAGGCATTCTTGTAGACTTTTAGAAGAGTGGAACACCTTCCTCAGGTGTTCCTGTACAGTGGTCATGTCACTTCATCAATAGTAACTTTAAAAAGCAGAAGGCTGGGTTTAACACTATTGGGACATCAAATTTGTTCCAACATTAATTTTGTGGTTCTCCAAAACTGAGAACAAATCCTTCTCCTTAGGCTCACATCAAAACACAAAAAAGAATTTCTTTAGGCACAGCCCAGCAAATAAACCTGTGGATTTACAAAGACCAAGAAGACCATGACCGGGAGACTGATACCCAAGTCATTCACAGGAAGGAAGTGACTCTGTCAGTCATGCAAGTCCATCCTTGTAGATCTACCATATGTACCTCATTTCAGGGGTTACTAAGAGTATAGGGATAAACCATTCATAAAAAGACCCAATGCCAAAAGAAATCTTACCACAGGAAACAAGGCAAATTTCTGAAGAAAGTCTTGGGATTCATACTGATCAAAGTCACCAAAATCAGCTACACAAAATGATAAATAATCACATGTTGATTACATGTAATTTTCACAAGAAAACATTTATACAACAAAAATCAATATGCAGTATATGGATGGCATGCTTATGATTCAGAAGTCAAATCTGACTGCTAACAGAATGTGTTTTGGGAGTAGCCTTTAAAAAACCTTCAGTGGATTCATGTCTTTTGGCTTAGAAAAATATCTATGAATTAAGTAAAAACATGGTTTGTACTTAAGTAAAAATTAAAAACAGCCGGGCGTGGTGGCACATGCCTTTAATCCCAGCACTCAGGAGGCAGAGGCTGGAGGATCTCTGTGAGTTCAAGACCAGCCTGGTGTACACAGTGAGTTCCAGGACAGCTGGAGCTACAGGGAGACCCTGTCTCAAAAAGACCAAAGGAAAAAAAAAATTGAAAACGAACTGAATAGAATATGCTGATCTTTAGAGCAGGTCACAGTGTACTCTATCTAGCAAGATGCAAGGAATAGAGTTCCATGTCTATTGGACATTCGTTTGTCTCAAGAACAGGTCTCCATGCCTGCTAATATCTGAGAGTTTATTATTTATTAAATTGCAATTCCCATGGTTAAGTGACAATGATCATTTAAAATAATGCACTATCAGAAACGTCTCCAGAGCACAGATATATATACAAATATGTATGTTAGGCATGACAAAATACTGAATTAAAAAATGTTTATGAGCCACAAAACAACTTCTATTACAACTAACAATGCTCTATAATCTAGAGCATTGAGAAACCAAAGACATGGAATATGTATGTTTTTCTATTTATTGGACTGTTTGCCTATTTGCTCCCTTTATATATAACAATCTTCCAGAAACTTCTAAAGTTTCACATTTTATTGAGTCAATCCAAAATAATATGTTCCTACAAGGAAATCTCTTGTCTAAAAGCATATTTCACTAATATATGAATACCATTAACAATTCATATAGAAATCAGCTACTTTAGAATCGTTTGATGGTTTTGTTACAACACATATCCTAATATGCTAGAACTATCATTTCACATGCACGTCTTACCTTGAACAGCTAAGCCTGCTAGCTGAACTGCTTGTTCTAATGTACAAGGAATGTTTCCTTCCAAAATATCTTTCTTCAGTTGCAGGTAATACTGATATCTATTTTAAAAAAGATGAGTTTATGGGGTCAATTATCGATACTATCTCCAACTAAGACAATACACTTCAGCATAATTTGGTAGAGGAGCTTAACTGTCAAATAAAACCATAATCCTAGATGATTTCAAAGAATGGAAAGAATGCCTTTGACCATATGGGCGGGCACACACACACACACACACACACACACACAACCACTGAATATATTTAACACATTTATTTTATCCCTGACTTTATTTCAAAACTAAAACCAGGGAGCTAGGGATATGGTTCTGGAGTAAAGCATTCGCTTAGCATGTGTAAGGCCCTGGGCTTGATCTCCAGCAACCTCCACAATCCCCATCCCCCAAAGAAAGTCAAAGCTAAAATCATCTATAAGACAACTGGCCATCTGTCTCATACCCTACAAAACAATCCCAGTTATCTGTTCCTTACAGTGAGAAAAATGTATGATCAATGACCAGTCTTTACTTAAAAACCTCTCTCATCACTTGGTAATATAAGACTGTATGTACTTAGTTTGGTAAAATTCCCTAGCCCTGAAAAGTAAATCCTAAGGAAAATGATTCTTGAAATTTCAGATCAGGCTATCACTAAGATTTTTACATGAAATCCAAAAAGAAGAACTTCTGAAAGACTTTCCTAACACCAGTCATGTAGGGTTACTTTTAAGACAGAAGGCTCCTGCAAAGAGCAAAGCTTAGGGTCAAGAGACAAGGTTAAATTCCAGCTCCCCAACTTAGGATTTTGCCTGATCTTGAGCAGGTCATAATTTGTGGATTTAAAAGTTATTATCAATTAAAAGATATGACCATCCCGTCACTGGGTTGAGCATATGCAAGTGACATCTAGAGAGCTGTTAACGCCACACTAGGACTGCGACGGGCACTCAGCAGCAGCTGGTATCTGCACTGCACCTTCAGCTGCCGAGGCGCACCTCACTACAGCCACTTTCCATTTGATGAAGCTCTAGAGTAAAGATGTAGTGCTTCCATTTATTTAGTAAGTCTTTTATTTAGTGAGCAATTAGGGCCTGCTGCTGTTCCAGAGCACTGCTACTCACACCGGAGATAAAGTATTGAATCAGATCCACTGATGCTGCCAGTGCAGTTCATAAAACTATCTCAACCAGAATCTCTCTAGTGTGGTGTCTTTAAACAGTCCAGATGCAGACCATAGGACTTCTCCAGAATTCAGATGAATTCTTGTGTCAGCTTTAAGGCTCTCTTTGTTGGAGACTTACAAGCCCGATGAAAACACCATCCAATGAAAATCCAACTTTTCCCTTCCGCCAGTTAGTAGAACTCATGGGTTTCCCTCAAGCCCCTCAGTCAGGGAATGCTGGCAACTCTCGGTCCTGTCAGAGAGTAAAACTTACAACTTTCTATAAGGCTTTCACAAGTCAGTTTGAAAGAGACTGTACTTAGAGAAGTCTATCTATTGGGCATGGTTCCAGAGTCCACTTTAATTATTCTAGGCTTCTTAAAATAAATAAAATCCCTGAAGAGCAACATACAAAACACCCATGGCCCAAATTTTTCCTACCTTAGCTCTTCAACATCTGTCCATATTTTCTCTAAATCGTTCATTGCTGATTTAATATCTTTTACACAGAAGTCTTACCTGAAATTTCCATTGTAAATGAAATGCCAGGAAAATGTCAAGCTTAACAAATATCCCCCAGAATAGTGAGTCAAGATAAGCCTCTCTTCATTAAAATTTATAGAGATTATGATATTGTGTTATAAGCAACAGAAAATGGACCAGTACAGTAATCGAGATTAAATACTATAAATTCATGAATTTGCAAAAATTCAGTCTATGCAGTCATTATTCTTCATTATGCTCAAAATTTTCTATGTTTTGCAAACAAAAATCACTTCAAGGAAGTTCCCAAGTGGATAACAATTTTTTATACTTTGTGGCTACATTTTTCTTATAAGTTTTCATTTTCTGAAGATATGTTACTCAGATTTTTGTTCTTAACTTTTCCTAAAGCTTTTTTTTTTTTTTTTTTTTTTTTTTTTTTTTTTTAATTTCTTTTTGTTATATTTTTTTTTTTTTTTTTTTTTTGTTGGTCTTTTTGAGACAGGGTGTCCCTGTAGCCCCAGCTGTCCTGGAACTCACTATGTAGACCAGGCTGAACTCACAGAGATCTGCCTGCCTCTGCCTCCCAAGTGCTGGGATTAAAGGCATGTGCCACCATGCCTGGCGAAAACCTAAAGCATCTTTAAATAGTTTTTTGTTCATTTGTTTTCATTAGGTAAAAGACTAAACCCAGGACCTCACATATACTAGGCAAGTGCTCTACCACTAAGTCACATCCCTAGTCCTGAATGGGTTTCTTATAACACCTTTTTGAGACATGATTGGCATGTAATGAACTGTTCCAATGTACAGCTTTGACATATAAAAATACTCTCAGGGGCCAGGTATGGTGGTGCACGCCTATAATCTCAGCATTTGAAGGCAGAGGCAGGCAGATCTCTGAGTTCAAGGCCAGCCTGGACTACATAGTGAGTTCCAGGCCAGCTGAGGCTACAAGGAGACCCTGTCTCAAAAGGACAAAATAAATAAAATAAAATAATAAAATAAAAACACTCTCGGGGGGGGCTGGAGAGATGGGTCAGTGGTTAGGAACACTGACTGTTCTTGCAGAAGACCCAGGTTCAAATCCCAGCACCCACATGGCAGCTAACAACTGTCCGTAACTCCAGTCCCAGGGGATCCGACAGCCTCCTCTGTCCTCCGCGGGCACTGCACGACGTGGGTGCACTTACACACACGTAGGCATAACATTCATACACACAAAAAATAAATAAATAAATAAAACATTAAAAAATTAAAAACAAAAAAACATTCTCAGGGCTGGCTGGAGAGATGGCTCAGCGGTTAAGAGCACAGACTGTTCTTGCAGAGGACCCAAGTTTGATTCCCAGCACCCACATGACAGCTAACAACCATCCATAACTCCAGTTCCAGGGAATCCAATGCCCTATTCTGACCTCCACGGGCACTGCACGACATGGGTGCACTTACATGTAGGCAATACACTCATACACATAAAATGAAAATAATATTAAAGGAATACTCTTGAAGGCACTGTCTCAAGACAAAGAACAACAGTTTGTGTGACACATAACCCTTCAACTCTTCCCCTTCCTGGAATCATGGCTCTGCTTCCTGACACAAGCTATGGGAGCTAGATTTCTCTAGACGTCTTGGAACTAGACCTACAGATTTCTAGACTATGAGTAAGTGGGAAGAGCATGCTGAAGGCAGTGGACCGTAAGAAAAAGGGCCAGGGTCTTGGCCTTTGTGGAGCCGCCACACAACTCTGCATGGCTAACCTTGGGTCCTCATTTCGGAATACACAAGCTTTTCATTGTTGATATGGATGGCCATACTTACTGACAGAGCTGCTCTCGGATTCTCCTAACCCTAATCAATGAGCCGTAATCAATGAGCCCATCCCTATGACTAATGCCTTTAAGAAAGGTCTGTGCTCTAAACTAACAACAGACTACTAACTGATCTCTTGCCACTTCCAATCTAAGAAGTTTTCTCATTATCTAGTTTATCTTCCACTATATAGGATGCAAATTGGAACATTCCACTCCTTTACAATTTGAAAAAGCTTTCCTCATTGCACCATAACTTTATAATTAGTGTACACCTCGTTCTAAGCCTTCTCTCTCCTCTCCAGGTGATCTCAGACTTTCACTATTTTCCCCATTTTCCACAAGTCATTCCCTCCAACTAGAAAATGCCTTCTAACATATCAGAAAGACAACTTTCTTACCTTTCCTAGTCAAGTCTCCATGCCCCATTCCTAGGAATTTGGAGCTTTAAATAAAGCACTCATCATAGGATACTGTGATTTTTTTATATACATGAACTGCCAGTTCACCAGACTGTGAGCAACTCCTCCAGTCAGCTCAAATGTATTCCCTACGTATTCATCTCCCTCATGACCTAACCTAGCTCTTAGATCACAGAATATCTTCAATAAATGTTTAAATGAGTTAAGGAGCCAGCTCATGTTTTTCCTTCTGGCTTCTACTTCTCAATGTTTGTATTTCAGGCCTGTTTCACATTCACAGTCAGTTTGCGGTCTATCCCTACCACCTGACCCTCTTGCCTCTTTGGTTTTCCAACCTCTTCCAATAACTGCCCAGGAGACTTGAACAGCACTCCACAAGCATGAGGCCGCATCAGTTCTTACATCTTTTTGTTTTGTTTTGTTTTGGTTTTAAATGTTATTTATTTTAGATCACTCTTATTTCTTTTTCAAATATTTTATTTATTATTTTTATTTTATGTGTATGCATGTATTGCCTGCATGTAGGTAAGTGCATCGACGTTGTGCAATGCCCACAGAGGACAGAAGAGGCTGTCGGATCCCCTGGGATGGGAGTTATGGACAGTTGTTAGCTGCCATGTGGGTGCTAAGATTTGAACCCGGGTCTTCTGCAAGAACAACCAGTGTTCTTAACCACTGAGCCATCTCTTCAGCCCCTGCACTAGCTTTTGTAAGAAAGGCAGAGTTAAAGAAAAGTGGATTTAAGACCTAGGAAGACTATAAAACATGTACACAAATAACACAATGGAAGGCCGTGACAACTGTAACCTTAACAGGCTAACAAGCAAATCATAAGACAGTCTGGAGCAAGCAAAGATCACTCCAGCCTGGGGGTCACAGAGCTTCATGGAGGAGGTGCTTACAGAACTACAAATCAGAAGATGAACAGGATCTGAAGACCTAAGTGAGAGAGAAAGACACAGGAGACAGGGATGAAAGTGTATATGGCATGTTCAAGACACGGACACTGTCTAGCTTGGCTCCAGAGTAACATTATTAAATAGGGTTAAAAAGATAAAGTAGTATCAGAGTTTGGGATATCTTAGGCCAGCTCAAGAACTCAAAAAAAAAAGTGTGAGATGCTGAAGATGAAACCTGGCCTTGCACATGCTAGGCAAGCGTTCTACACAGACATATAGCTATGCCAACAGTCAAAACATGAAAATTTTATTTTGTCTTCAGGACACTTTTATTTTTTTTAAGAATTCATAATAGTTAAGTCGTAGAGCCAGCCTAGGGGTCCAAAAACAGAGGACTGGATACAGAGAACGTTGTAGATAAGACACAATGGAACTGTTTCCAAAGAATGAAGATAAGTTGCTTGAAGGAAAATGGAGATAATCTTATTAGTGAAGGTCAGTCTCAGGAAGACATAGCTCATGCTTTTTCTCATCTGTAGGTCCTAGTCTTTATCAATACATAAAATCATTTATGTCAGGGGACGTGAAAGTAGAAAACTTGGGGGGGGAGGTGACACAGAACGTGGACACAAAGGGGTCTGATGAGAGGAGGAGGGACATAAAAGGGGACAGTAAGTAGCTGGGGATGGAAGGGATATGCTCAAAGTGCATTGTGTATCTGCATGAAAATCACCTTACATAACCCAGCACGAGCAAAGAAAACAGAACACTTAGCTCCTCTACCACACTTAGTAGCTGCTCTCCTGTCTGCTTCGGCAGTGTATTTCCTAGCTAATACTTTCTCATCATAAACACCTTCCCTGTCACTCTGTGTCTTCTTGGTCCCCCAATGTTGGCTTCAACCTGTCTACAGAAGACAGTTTCTAGAGTCAGAATTATAAGAACCCAGCAAGCTCCTTGGGGAATGAACACAGATTTTGATTGCATGCTTTAAATCTCCTTTTTTGTTTCCTGATTAGAAGGAATCAGAAACAAAACCACAAAAACATTAAAGGTGACATCACATCAAGAGTTTACCACCAGGGTGACAACATCACCTTTTCCTTTAATCATTCCTTTGGGTCTAGTGAACCCATAATTCATTTCACCATGTAGTAAAACCCTCTGGCGTACCACATAGCAGAACCTCCTCGTAACGTGGTGACTGAAAATGTGAGCAGGAGAGCAAAGTTGCAGACTTTTATCTCTGGCCTTCAACCTCCATTTCACAGCTCAAGCCTCACTTAGACTACTTTCTAAACAGCAGTATGTACCTCACCTGGTAATTTCCTGCTGCAACTGTGAAACGGAAGGCACATAAAACACCACTCCAAAGTAGACAGTGGGCTCCAGCGCATGTTTATCCAGCTGCTTCTTCAAAGGTTTCTCCAGATCTACCCACCTGCGCTGATTTTGCTTGTTGTAGTACCAGAGGCTGAAGTAAGTGACCTGGAAGAAGGGAAGGTCATTGAAGGAGGCAGGCATCACAGAAGGAGTTCAACAACAACACAATAATCAGCGACCCAGAACCAAGTGGCAGTAGTTTCCAGTTGCCTCTCAGAAATGAACAACAGCAAGATCTGAAAGCAAAAAAGGAGCAAAGCCTATCTCCATCCAGATAATAGAATTTGGGAAACAGAGAGGAAAGAAGTCAACTGCATGTCATTTCTTCATCTCTGAAATTAAAACACGGTCAAGGTCCAGACACTAGAATGTAGCAAGTGCCATTCAATTTCTTTTGCTGGTTTTCTTGGAGGGTTTTTTTTTTTTTTTTTTTTTTTTGAGACAGGGTCTCCCTGTAGCCCCAGCTGGTCTGGAACTCACTATGTAGACCAGGTTGGCCTCAATCTCACCGAGATCTGCTTGCTTCTGCCAGGATTAAAGGCATGCACCACCACACGCAGCTGTACCATGCAATTTTATGTACACATTTTAACAAAAATTACAGGAAAAATCACATCTAATTTTTCTATTACCAAAACATCTAATTTTTCTATTACACAGGACAACTTTGAGAGCCCATTCTTTCCACCATGGGTTCTGGGGATCAAACTCAGGCACTCAGCCATTTCACCAGCCCAATAACATTTCTAAAAAAGCCTAAAGTGGGGTTCTATCCAGTACAATTCTTAACAATAGCATTAACCCAACTTTTTACTACCCTTGACTTGTGGCATCTATAAATCAAATTATTTCATGTATACAACCCTTCCCCAGAAAGTGCATTAGATACAAAATTAAAGCAACTAGAACGATTTAAATTAATCATTTAATGTGGCTCTCCCTCTCCCCCTCCCGCTCCTGCTCCTCTTCCCCCTCGACTTAGAGATTAAATTTTTTAAATATTTTATTTTTTTTATTTTATGTGTGTGTGTTGCCTGCATGTAGGTAGGTGCACCCATGTTATGCAATGCCTGCGGAGGTCAGAAGAGGCTGTCAGATCCCTTGGGACTGGAGTTACGGACAGTTGTTAGCTGCCATGTGGGTGCTGGGATTCAAACCTGGGTCTTCTGCAAGAACAGTCAGTGTTCTTAACTGCTGAGCCATCTCTCCAGCCCCTAGAGGTTAAATTTTTAAAAACAAGCCAGGTGTGTAAGCACACATATGTGATCTCAATTCTTGGGAGGCTACGGCAATAGGACTTTTTAATAATTTGAGAATTTCATACATGTATATAATGTGTTTTGATCAAACCCATGCCCACTCCCTCCCCTCCAACAGCTCCCATATCTCCCCATCACTTTTTTTTCTGATAACTTCATGTACTCTTTTTTTTTAATTTTATATATATACATATTTTATGGGGCTTTTGGCTACTCTAACATTCTCTCTGAAGAGGTAACCCTAAAATCTTTTAAGGATTAGATACAAGCTCCCAAATACTTTCAATATTTTTGGCCTTGGAACAGAGTATGTTAGATCCACCTGCCTCTGCCTCCCAAGTGCTGGGATTAAAGGTGGTTTATTATTTATGTGTATGAGTGTATTGTCTGCATGTATGTGAATGCACCCATGTCGTGCGATGCCGCAGAAGAGGGCTTCAGATTCCCCTGAAACTGGACTTAAGGATGGTTCATAGCCGCTATATGGGTGCTGGGGATCAAACCCAGGTCCTCTGCAAGATCAGTCAGTGCTCTTAACCACTGAGTAATCTCTCCAGCCCCCTCTTTTTTAAAATATTTTATTATTTTTATGTGTATGAGTGTATTGCCTGCATGTATGTGAGTACACCCATGTCATGCAATGCCACAGAGGTCAAAAGAGGGCTTTGGATTCCCCTGGAACTGGAGTTAAAGATGGTTCATAGCTGCCATGTCGGTGCTGGGAATCGAACCCGAGTCCTCTGCAAGAGCAGCCAGTGCTCTTAACTGCTGAGCCATCTCTCCAGCCCCTTTCTTCTTTTATTTATTTTTAAATGGAGCTTTTGGTTACTCTAACACTCCCCCCTCTGAAGAGGTAACCCTAAAATCTTTTAAGGATTAGATAAAAGTTCCCAAATACTTTAGATATTTTTGGCCTTTGGAATGGAGTATGTTGCTAAGAGGCTCAAAGACATTTTGAGTTTTAGCCAAGAAACTGGCTACTTTTCTTTAGGGGTCTTATACCGTTAACTGCCTAGCCAAGGCCAGCCATGGCTCCAAACCAAGTCTCTGCAACACACACACACACATACACACACACACACAGCATTTAGATCTCACTTGTTGTGTAATGAAACCATTAAGATAAATCAATAGTAGCCCTGGTCTAGTCAACCCGAACAGGTATGAAAGCACTTAAGAGATGAAATAGCAGCCTCAGGCTATTGCTAATATTTATCTCAAAATCAAGTCACAGATCAAGGCCATTGGAAAAACACTGCTCTGCTGTTCCAGACTCTAGAGCAATGCTGCCAAACAGAACCTCGTGCAATGAGGAACATGTTCCACACCTGTACTGTCCAAAAAGGCAGGTGCCACTGAGAACTTGCCAAGTGGCTAGAGCTAGCTACACCTCAGTGTCATTCAATTTTGATGCCCTCAAATCAAACAGCCATTATCATTCTGAGTAGTGTAACTTCATAGCATTAGTAAAACTTAAAATAATATTCTGGTATTTCTTAGCCCTGCAATACTTATTCAAATAAAAACTGAACTTTAAGCTAGGCATGGTGATGCACACCTAACAGCAGAAGGCTGAGGCAGGAAGACTGCAGTGAGTTCAAGACCAGCTTTGGCTACATAGTGAGCTTAAGACTAGCCTGGACTTCACAGTGAAATCTTGTCTCAAAAATTAATAAATAAACTTAAACTGGCCATAGTGGCACAAGCCTGTAATCCCAGCATTCAGAAAGATGAAGCAGGAGGATTGTGAGTTCAAGGCCAGCTTAGCCTACAAAGCAAGAGCAGCATTAAAAAGATAAAAAGACTTTTTAATTTCCCTGAGCATACTTGATGTTTATATTATTATTATTATTATTATTATTATTATTATTATTATTTTGGTCTATTTTTGAGACAGGTTCTTCCCTGTAGCCCCAGGTGGCTTGGAACTCACTATGTAAATCAGGATGGCCTTGAACTCACAGAAATCCACCTGCCTCTGCCTCCCCATTGTTGAGCATTGCTTTGACTAAAGACATGCACTATCATGCCTTGTTTATCTTAACATTTTTTTTTACAAAGGAAAATTACACTCTTAACATTAGCCTATGAGTTTCTCTAAGAGTAATATTCCTATTGTCCCTTTATTTCCATAAACTAGAATGCTAAAGAAATTCAGTAAATTTGGCATGCTATACGAATAGAATAGTTTGAACATCTGCCATATGCCAGGTTTTATTTTATAACCGTGGAGCCAGTGTCTCTCCAAGTACCACGGGCCGCTCCTACCCTAAAAAGCTATTAAATTCCCAGATAATTCCTAACCATTCAAGTTTGAAAAGCATTATACTATACCACACTGTTCCACCAACATTATGTATACACAACCTATACTTAGCTACACAGAATTCAGAGGCTGAGGTAGGATCACAATTCTGAGGCAAGTCTGGACTACATAGTAAGTTGCAGGCTAGCCTGGGCTGGCCTACATAAGGAGCATCTTTGTCTCTATCTCCTCTTTCTATCTGTGTCTGTGTCTGTCTGTCTGTCTGTCTCTCTCTCTCTCTTTCTCTCTCTCTCTCTCTCTCTCTCTCACACACACACACACACACACACACACACATACACCTTCCTATGCTTGAAAAGCTGCATGGATATCAACTTTTTAAAACATTAAACACATGGCCAGGCGTGGTGGTGGCTTTAATCCTAGCACTCGGGAGGCAGAGGCAGGCGGATTCCTGAGTTCAAGGCCAGCCGGTTCTACATAGCGAGTTCCAGGACAGCTGGGTCTACAGGGAGACCCTGTCTCAAAAAGACCAAAAAAAATTTTTTAAAAACATTAAACACATGGGGCTGGAGAGATGGCTCAGCAGTTAAGAGCACTGGCTGCTCTTGCAGAGAACCCGGGTTTGATTCCCAGCACCACATGGTGACTAACAACCATCTGTAACTCCAGGGGATGCAACGCCCTCTTCTGACCTCAGTGGTTACTGTACAACATGGGTATACCTACCTACATGCAAGCAATACACTCATACATTAAAGAAAAAAAAAAAACCACATTAGGCATGGTGGGGCACACCTTTAGTCCCATCAATCGGGAGACAGAGGCAGGCAGATCTCTGAATTCAAGGCCAGCCTGGTCTACATAGTGAGTTCCAGGCCAGCTGGGGCCATAGGGAGACCCTGTCTCAAAAAGAACAGTAACAAAAAGGAACAGACCTGATAAAATGAATAAATATATAGTATATTATAATATTTCTTGCAAAAGACCCAGGTTTGAATCCCAGCACCCACATGGCAACTAACAACTGTCCATAACTCCAGTTACAAGGGATCCAACAGCCTCTTCTAACCTCCAAGGGCATTGCACGACACAGGTGCACTTACTTACATGCAGGCAATACACACATACACATAAAACAATAAATAAAATTTTTTTTAAGTTAAAAAAATAAAAATTTTAGCAGAGCGTGGTGGCACATGCCTTTAGTCCCAGTACTTGGGAGGCAGAGGCAGACAGATCTCTGTGAGTTCGAGGCCAGCCTGGTCTCCATAGTGAATCCAGGACAGCTGGGGCTACAGGGAGACCCTGTCTCAAAAACAAACAAAAAAAAAACACAAAAAAACACAAAAAAACACTAAATAAATAATTAATTAATTAAAATTTTTTTAAAAGATCCAAAAATAAAGAAATAAATAAAACAAAAGATAAGCAGAAGCTTATAAATATGTTCAGAAATTAGCATTTGTAGTTTAGATAAGGGACAAACCTTATTCATCTAAGGAAGTTAGTTACTGAGAGTGCTTCATTTCCCCAAGACAGGAAAAATAACTTATTTTACACACAGCTTTACAATGCTC